TCATCGAACCTTGACCGAGTCGATCTCGAGTAGCTTGCGATCTATCTCGTCTCATTTACAGCCCTAGTTAGAAACTTTAAAGTATTCATTCATATTATACTTACTAAATAGATATGCTTTGAGTCTTCAAGACTTTGTTCTTTTAATAGGTTCAGGTCGAAATATTAATCCAAAAAAGCATGTATTCTTATCATCATGGATTTTGGAGCATGTATCATTCCCTCTTTCCTCAAAAGTATCTATCCACGAATCTGAAAATCTAAAAGAAAGAGAATTAGATGTTAAAAGGAAAGCTAGTGAAATACTTTCCTAAACCAATGTGACGTGTCTTTATACACTTTATTAGAGGTTTCTTCATTGATGGAACTGATTTATTGTTGTCTTAAAACCTTTTTGCATACAAGTATTGTAGTTTAGTATATAGGTTGAAATTCAACATGGCGCTGACCACTGTTGGCTTTATTTGTAATTGTTTCATATGTTCTCTCAGTGGTTTTACTCATCTATGTCAAAAAAGTGTTTAAAAATCATGTCAAGAGTTTGTTAAAATAATCCATTGAGTCTATGGGTTGTTCATAAATTAAAAATTCTACTGAGGAGCTTTTTGGAATACATAACTTGTTCATTTGAAATGGAAACCAATCTATAAAATAGAACTCATTAAAAGAACTTTTAAAAAGTATGCTTTTGAAAGTTAAGGGTATACCTTCGTGATAGTTCATCTACTACTATGTTTGTCTTACCTAAGTCTTTTAACCACTTAAAGGATTCGTGATTAGTATGAATGACAAGTTCAAGTGCCTTAACCTTAAAAAAGTAGATAATAATAACACTGAAATGAGTAATAACATACTTACTTTTGAATTCTTTTAAATCATGATTAATCACTGAGATGACACTGTTTTGTACATCTCACCATCTTGTTTATTAAATTTAAGGGCTTTCTTTATTTTTAGTCAGTACAAAATCTCTACTATTTTGTATCTTTTTTGGTTGTCATAGTCAATGATAAACTCACCTCACCATCATTTACCATTCAATTGGTTTATATTTTTCAAAAAATATTTTTGAAATTCACATAACTAACTATAAAAAGTCTATCATTGATAGAGGGGTTGAAAGTTATGTTGGATTTAGGGTTTTGGTTTGAAAATCTGCACAGTGAGAAGCAATTTTCTAATAAGATGAGAAAAATATTTCAAAATTAGTCTTATCAGATGGTCATTTTAAGATATCAAAACATTAAAAAGGTCGAAACTTTAAATAAATTTTTGTTGATTTTGAGTGAATTTCATATAAAATTAAACTAAAGAGAAGAAAAAGAAAATAAATAGAATTACTTTGGTATCAATATTAGTGTGAACCTCGACCAATGATAGTGATAAAAGTAAAAGAAACAAAAAGAAAATAATGACAAAAAAAATTCATAAAATTTAGTGATAAAATTAATTATTTTATAATTTAATGATTAAAATGAGACAAACCTAAAATTCATGACTTATGGTATCTTTTAACCTTAATATTTTGGACCATTAGCTGAACCAGGTGGACCATATGATATCTTTAGTTGGAATGAGAGATCACATGGAATTAGTATATAGCCCTTATCCGTTACCCATTGGAATGTCATCACTTTGTGCTATCTGCCACTCATCATTACAACCATAGGCCCCGTCCATTGTTTTTGACTTCAAAATTATTTATTTCTCTTTTCATAAAATATATTAAAAGTTCATGATAAAAAATAATTTTTTTTCATTTTGTAATACTTATTTATATATATATTTATTTTCACAGTCAAATTTTATATTTTTTAGTGTATAAATTTGATATTAAAAGATAAATAATATATACATAATATACTAAAAATGACATAACAAATTATTAACATGTTAAAATTTATACGAGTAAATGTAGAATGATAAAGTTATCAAATAAAAAGTGTTTTCGACTAATTGAAATTGAGCTATTTAGTCTATCAAAAAAATTTGAGCCATTTAGGATTATAGTTTATTTTTTTATATTTTAATTTTGTTATGAAAAATTATGCATTAAATATTTTTTTGCTAAAAACTTAGTATATTAAGTATTTATTGAATATTATAATTATATATACAATTTATAAAAAAATAATTAATTTTTGTGTTTGAATCAGTTAGATATAATGAAACAAAAATCCAGAAGCTTAAGTGTTCAAACCTCCAATTTTCACATTAGTACTTTATATTTTTACGTAATCATGTTGAAACAAAACATATATTAAATAAATGATAATTGAGAGAAATCTGATAGATCTAAATTAAAAAATAATTATGACATATCTCGACCTTGTGTATGAAGAAATTAATGTTTTGTATCTTATAAAAATTGAAAAATTAAGCTAACTAAATAATCATTAGATGCTCTTATTAAAGTGATATTTATATATAGGAGTATCAACCGAGTGGTTTTAGTGATAAAAAATGATTTTTGTTCTTTGAGATTCCGAGTTAGAATACCAGAAAATATATGAACATATTCGACTTTATATTTACTTTAAATTAATAAAAAATATTTATATATAGAAAACTAAACAAATAATAATAATTTAATAATTTATATGTAAAACTTAATGAAAATAATAATATGGTTTTTTTATATTTATTATCAACTATATTGTATTCCCAGGACATACGATTTTTTATTTTGCATAAAATAAAAATGTAACAAAATTACTGTTCATAATTAAACGATTTTAGTAATAAATAAATTATTTTTGCTTTTTGAAATTTTGGGTTAACGCATCGTAAATATCGGGAATTTGAATATTAAATATAATTGTCTTATAATCGAAAAAGTATTTTATAATTTTTAATAATAAAAAATAATAAAACAGCAATTTGAGAGTTATTTATACTTTACCCAAAGAAAATAACAAAATTAAGTTAAAGAAAATCATGGCAATCCCTCGACCCGAAGCTCAGGAAAGCATTTGCGTGCGATAGGAATCAATTAAAAGACGGTTTTTGCCGACAATTGCATAACCCGAAAAACCTCTTTTCATTATGATCTCTATACTTGCCCTTGTTAAGATAAATTTTAAAAAATAAAATAAAAATCTTCATTCTATGGGTATATCTTAATAATATTTTATACATAAAGGATTAAATCTATGGCCGGAGTTTCCAGAACCGCTTTCAATTTCGTGCAAGTATATCAATCTCTCGTTTCCTTTTTCTTTTTAATTCCAACTTTCTATTAGTGAACTTCATGTTTGTTTTTCTTCTATTTTCCTTTCCACATGTTAAGTTTTCTGCATTTTTAATGATTTTTTGTGGTAGAAAAATAGTAAATCTTTTCTCAGTGAGGTTTAAGAAATCTGGGTTTCTTTTGTTCATGTGGAATATTTATGTTGGATATGATTTTATCATAGTTTAGGGTTTTTTTAAAGGCGGTTTCTTTGGAAATAAGCTTCCTTTGTGAATTATAGGAATGCCATTTTGCTCCAAATCCCCTTTACGTTTAGAAACTCAACCATTATTCTTTAATCTGCTTTAGGAAAATGAAAATGAAGGTGATTAGTCTTTTTCTGTTTTTATTAAATAAAGTTTTTTTTCCTATGAATTTTAGGATCCCTTTTGTTTCCATTAGTCTATTTTGTGTTTTGGTTTCCCTGGGCATTTTTTATATTAACTTTTTGCTAATTTTATTTGTAAAAAAAAGAGAGAAAATAGTTTGATGACTGAATAGTTATGCAGCACATATCATGTCTACCAGCAAGGGGAGGATTTCTGTTACATGGATGAAGATTTCATAGATGACATGGACGAAGACAACTATGATCTAGCTGGTGGAGATGTGGATGCTGATGAATATGACATGGTGTGTTTTTCATCTTGGTGATATTTATCTATTCTATATGCGTTTGTTGTTAATTGTAGTTAATTTTAAAATTTAATGATGAAATTCATCACGTTCATGCTACAATTTGAGCAGCTGACCAAGGTGACCGATACATCTTCTATGCAAAGCGCGGAAGGGGAAAGACATTCAGGGGAGAAGAATATAGGCTAACAAGGCTTGAACAGTATAAGAACTATGAGAATATACCGCCTTCCGGTGAGGCTGTTGACAAGGTTCATTTCTTTTTCCTATAATTCATGAATGAACTAGTTTATAGTAAAGTGAATAGCATACTAAGCTTTGTGTGGTTTGTATATTTTTGTTTCAGGAATGCAAACAGGTAGAAAAGGGTGGGAACTACTATGAATTCTTCTATAATACTAGATTGGTTAAACCTACAATCCTCCATTTTCAGGTTTGTTAGTTCAGAAATTGTTTATTTCTTTTGTTATTGTCACTTATATCCTGTTTTTGAAGATGTTACTTTGGTGTGAATATATATTTTTGTTAATTTCCTTTCTCGTTCTAGAAAAGATTTCCTTTGTCATCTCTTTTCTTGGTTCAGTTGCGTGCACGGGCAACTATAAAAGGACCTTGATTTTCTTCTTTGGTAATGGATATGAAATTCAGTAGTGTCATTTCTCATTTATGGATATGATTGGTGATATTTATTCTTTTGAAATTGCAACTTTTTGTGTATCTGCATCTGCTTGGATGTAGCTATTTGTTTCTTTAACTTCTACCTCCCCTTTTTTCTTGGTACCCATTACTTTTGTCATTGTACATGGTAATATTAAGATTAAGAATACTTAAAGTAGGTCCTAGATTTGGGTTGAATGTTCTATATCTCCAGTGTTTTTGACTTAAATAACCTGTTGTGGAATGTATTTTACAGCTCAGAAACTTGGTTTGGGCTACTTCAAAGCATGATGTTTCCCTTATGTCCAACTATTCGGTTATGCATTGGTCATCATTGTCATGCAATCTGTCTGAGATCCTTAATTTTGCTGGGTGCTTCTTATCGGTTACTTGCAGTATGAATGATTTTAATTAAAGTTGGTTATCGTAGTAATTTGGCACTATTTTATCTGCTAACTTCTGTTGCCTTGCCTTGTGACTAGAAACATCCCGGAAGTTTATTAGAAGGTTTTACACAAACTCAAATAAGCACTCTAGCTGTCAAGGACAACTTTATGGTTGCGGGAGGTTTCCAAGGGGAGCTTACTTTTAAGGTTAACATTTGCAGCCTTTTCCTATTTCTTTCTGTGGTTCTCTCTCTCTTTTTTTTTGAGGAGGCGTGATGTTATGGTTGCTATGGTCAGAATCAGGTAGTATTGAGGCAAGATGTGTGTACCTAATGATCTTTCTTTTAGTAACTTTTCATTTATGTTACTTGGACTCGGGTGTAAATCTCGAATATGGGTATGATTAGACTTATCTAAGTTTTTTGATATATTTGAAGGATTCTCGGAGGTCTTATCCCCATACCCATGTGTCAAATGCAAGTGGTGGACACGAGTACTTAAAGAAAAGCGAAGAGTTGGACCAACATAGCTTTTCATGGTTCCAATGGGTAGAAAAGGCAGGGTCTGTTTGTTTGAGAGAGGTCATATATAACTGGAATAGTGGTGGGTGTTACAGTGTGAACCAGTTACTATGCGGAGGGTGTGCATTGTGCAAGGTCATACCACATCCTAGGATATATTACATTCTGAGTAACCATCCAAGTGTTTCTTCTACAGATGAGATTATTCTTCATTTGCCATGTGAATCCTGATAGAATAGAAGAAATTGAATTATTGAAAATCCTAGAAATCGAAATGTTTTGACACGTTTCTTGAAAGAACAACATGGATTGACCAGCATGCTTTAGTTCTTAAATGTTTTTTCTTGGTTCTATTTCTATCATGTATTTATTTGTTTTTGCATATTTTGGTTTTGCATGAACATGTTCCGGCATTCTCGGCCGCCATTCCTTTTATATACAGTGTCGTACAATTTTGTTTTCCTGTTTTTGCAGCACTTGGACAGAAAAGGAGTAGTCTTCTGTACCAGGACAACCTATGATGATAATGCAATTACAAATGCTATCAAGATATACGACAGCTTGAGGTAGCATGATAATTGCTGATTTACAGTTTGACTTAGAAAATGTATTGAATAAAATATAGCTTGAACTTCGAATCTGTTTTGCAGGGGTGGAATTAATTTCATGGCCTCAAATAATGACTGTAGTTTGAGAGAATACGATACTGAGAGATTTCAACTTTTAAATAATTTCCGGTTCCCTTGGCCAGTAAATGTAAGCCCCTTGAGTTGAGGTTATGATGCCTAATTCTTAATTCAGTTCTTTCATAGTACTTCATGTTCTATCTTATATCTTATGTTACTTGGATTCGGGTGCGAGTGTTGGACATGGGTATGTGGGTGGGATGGGTATATCTAGTTTTTTTTTTTTTTGGTAAAGTTCTTTAATTATTTGGAGTCATGGATGATCATATTTTCGAAAATATATACAATACATGTTTGGACATGAGTACTTCAAGAAAAAAATGAAGAGTACATAGCTTATATTTACATGAGTGAGAGGCAGTGGTCTTAAGGTAGTTGTATGTTCATTTCATAAGTATATGATTTCTGCTCAATGTAGAGAAATTATAATCTCAACTTATGTGATCTGTGTTTCAACGACAATAGAGGATTGTAACTTCATATACCCAAAAAGCAACCTGGAATCATCGGTCATTTTCATGGATTATGTTAATTTTCCTTAACATGAATGAATTTGCTTTTGCTGATGCAGCATACATCCATCAGCTCTGATCGAAGGCTTATTGCTGTTGTTGGAGATCACATGAATGGGTTGCTTGTCGATGCACAAAATGGCAAGGTAAATAATAATTTTTTTAGTAGGACCGGTACTGCATGGGTGACTGGCTGAGCCCTGGCGTAGTAGTAACTTTGCTCTGTAACGAGTTATATATTCAAATTTGGGAGATGGCCTCTCTGGAAGTAGAGCTGAGGTGGTTTACATTTGATTCTTTCACTGCCCAGTGAATTGATTGAATCTGGAAGTGGTGCTTGGTTCAATATGATATATGTTATAGGAGGAGCTTAGAGAACTGAGAAAAAGGTTATATGGATAAAAAAACTAGTTGAAAATCTAAATCTTTGGATCTATATTCAAAATCATACCATTTTACTATGTATATTTTATTAAGAACGATTAGTTCAATTGAAATTGGATCATGTTTTCTGTGGTTGCAGACAGTAGCCACAGTGGTAGGTCATCGAGATTACTCCTTCGCATCGGCGTGGCACCCTGATGGACGCATATTTGCCACGGGAAATCAAGACAAGGCCTGCCGAGTGTGGGACATAAGAAACCTCTCTATGCCAGTTGTGGCTCTCAAAGGAAACTTAGGTGCGGTGCGGTCAATCTGTTTTCATCGGATGGCCAGTTCATGGTAGTTGCTGAACCAGCGGATTTCGCCCATGTTTATAATACAATGTTGGGTTTCCAGGAACGACAAGAGATTGACTTCTTTGGTGAGATTTCGGGGGTAACTTTGAGTCCAGATGATGAGGCTCTGTATATAGGAATATGGGATAGAACTTATGCCAGTTTGTTGCAGTACAACAAAAGACACACGTATGGCTACTTAGATTCTTATCTGTGATTATGTTTATGATGATGTATGGTGGATCATAAATGTTTAAACCGGTTTTGTAATAATTCACGTGTGTGGGTATAAAATAGTGTTAGATTGAAAATTGATCCATGTCAACAGTTTGCGTTTGTTCTTAACAGGTTTCTAGGCCAATAAGCTTCGTTTGGGATATAATGTTACGCATAGTATGCAAATTATAATATTCATGCAGTTAATATTAATGTGTAGACAAGTAAATGACCGCCTGGGAGCATGAGAATTTAAATGTTTGAAATCAGTTACAATCACTCCATCTTATATTTAGTTTCCCATGTTATAGAATCTTCTCTATGATATATGTATAGTGCTTGCAAAACAAAATTTGCATCAAATTGGAATAACCCATTAACAAATAGAGGGGTTGCCTCAATTTTTTTTTTTTACATTGTCTTCTATAGATCTAGAGTTCAATGCCTCCTGTCGTTTATTATGTTTATGACCTCTACTTGCTCATTTTGTTATACCAAACTCTCCTCGATTTAAAGTAAATCTTCCTGACAGTCCTGTTGTTGGGAGATGACATGTCTGATGTGATCTTGGCCAGAATCAAACTTCTCGGTGCCTTGTTAGCATCAGTGGAAAAGTAGCATGGTTTAAACATTTGTTATCGAGACAAGAAACTCAACAATTCGAGCTCAAATATACTTTATCAAACCTTGAATTCGAGGTTAGAACCTTGGCCTAATTTTTTTAATAATGCAACGTGATATTTGAATGCATTCATTAGCTTTAGACGAAATACAACATTTAGTTGCATAATAGTTAAATTAGTTAGTAGTTGCATTATTAAGCATACGTGTTATTAAATTTTGTAACATCATTATTATTACACAATTAATTTGTCTTATTTTTCCTACACCTTTATTGTGCTTGGCATCACATCCGCAAGTGTTCTTTATATTTGGGACGTGATTGTGTTAGGATTGTGCTAACATGAGTATTCTATTTATAGGTGCAAGGATCTCAATAGACAACTTAGTAGGAGCATGCATCAACCAACCACTTGGTGAATGAATTTCAGCATGCTTTCAAACTCATTTGAGAAATTAAAAATATCGAGCTTATGGAATGGAATGGAAATGCACGTGAAGTGTGTGAGGGGAAACTTACAAACCATTGGAAAACAAAGACAACAACCCTTTCAAACCATTTTTAACACTTATACAAATTCAAAACCAATGAACTCAAACATCAATACAACTATTTACAAATAAAGTGAATTATAAACGCAAACAAAATTTATTTAAACAACAAAGGATCAAAATTTAAATTAAGTCAGATTCCTAATTTTCATTGTAAAGACAGAGACTAATAGGCTAATGATTTAACTCTCTAATGGTCCCTATTGGAGTCATCAAGCTGTCGGAACGATCCTTCATCCTTAGTGAATAGGGCAGGATCGATTTTGACTTTAAAAGTTCATGGGTGAAATTCAATCTTGGAAAAGCAAATTGGTTGGGAGTCGCCATCAACCTTTGTCGAATAACTAAAAATGTATTTTAAAAGAATTTTAAGAAAAATCTTTTAAAAGAAAAAATGGTCTGTGTTCAACCAAAAATTCATTTTGAAAAGGGTTTGAGAATTGATTTCACGTGAAAAATTATGAATACCTCACAACGCTCGAAATCAGTACCTAAGCAATTAACTCATTGTCTTTGCAATAGAAGAATATTACGAATTTGAATTAGTTTAATTAAAGATCCATTTTCTCAAACAAACATTTTATTAATCAAAGAATTCTAAAAAGAAAAGGATGATATTTCATCAATTCCTACCGAAGAGAAAGAACATCCCAACGTAAATTGAAATGATTATTTCTCTCGCCAACTTAAACAAGGAATATCATATTTTTTTCTTTTAAAAGTTTTTATATTTAAGAAAAATCATTTTATTAAGCTAAAAGTTTTGAGAAGAAAAAGACGATATTTCACTGTAGTACCCCAAATATCAGGTCAGTGACCTTATTGAAAATATTTAAAATTTGAGAATTTATGTGAATAAATGATAAAAGATGAAAAAATGATTTGGAATAATGTTTGAGACTAAGTTGTAATAATAGATGAATAAACAGGGCATTTTGGTCCTTTAAAGGGAAATGAATTTAATATTCATTTTAATAAGGAATTAAAGTATAAAAAAGGGCAAAAGGGGAAAACCTAAGTTATTTTTCTCTCATTCTTTCCCGTGGAAGAGCTCTCCTCCATAGCCAAAGGTAAAGTTCCATATGGCAAGTTTTTCCTTCGTTTTTGGTTTGTTTTTGAAACATTGAGCATCATAGAGGTTTAAGGAAGGATGAAATAAGATTAATACTAAGAGATGGATGAAATAATTGAGATTTAAGAAAATGAGTTTTTGAATGATATGTTAGAATATGAGTTTTTATTGATGTTTACTAGTATATTTGACTTGTCAAAGAAGTAAATAAGAGATTAGAAGCATCGGTTAGGATTAAGAACATGTTAGAAAAAGTGGTATGATTCTTAGATGGAAATGTTCTTGAAAGATTTTAGATTTTTTAATAAGC